TTAAAAAAATTTTTTTCCTTTTCTCTAAAAGCTGGTAGCTTATTCATTCAGGCACTGCCTGTTTTCTTCTGATAACCTTTTGAAAAACCAAACCCACAGGCAGGAGAGGTTTATGGTGCTCTGTTGACAAACTGCAGACCAAGATAGACAGCCTTGACTTCAGAGCACCAGATTTCCACTGGTATTTCCCTGAATGATTTGCACATGTCCTTGTATCGTGCCGGTTTGTGATTCGAGATAGGGGCAGGGCCTATGGAGAGAAAGCCTCCCCCCAAAATGAAGAGGATTTTTCATTTCTTTGTGTCTGTGCCTGGCACTCACACTGTTCTGTAGCAGCTCCAGGTAGATTCGTTCACTACGGAAGGTAGATGCAGAGGCCCGTGTGGTGCTTCCTCACCTTGCATTTCGATGGCATGTTCCAGAAGCTCAAAGTACTTCCACAGAGAATATTTTGAAAAAGTACAAGTTTGCCCCCAGTACTCCCAGGAGAAATTGAACTTTGTGAGTGGAGGAAATGAAAACAGCCTGTTGGCCTCTGGTCTCCTTTCTTGCCACAGAGTGCTCACCACCTTCTAGCACCCTGTATAATTTACACATCTATTGTGTTTATTTTTCAATCCTCCGCCCAGAAGAATGTCAGCATGAGGACAGATGCGTTTGTTTTGATCCTGGCTGAGTCCCAAGCACCTAGAGCAATGACTGGCATATATTAGATTCTCAATAAATAAATTAAGCATTGTAAAATCATGTTCATAAACAATCCAGGTAGAACTGGTACCCTGCACATCTCACTGGTCGAAATCACAGTGTGTCCTTAGGAGGGAGAGACAATATAGAACAGATCGCACTGGTGAGGACAGTTACAATAACCAAGGTGACAATGATGTGTAAGGCAAGAAAAGTAAAAAAAAATGGGGGGGGTTCAGAATTAGTTTAGCTCAACTCTTCAAATTTTCATGTAGAATTTCCATGAACTGGGTAGTGATCCTAGAGAAAATCTTAACAAACTCAGTTTCTCTTTTCAAGTCCCTTTTTGATTAAGCTCATGGGAAAGTGTATGTGTTGGAGAATTCCAGGTGTGTCTGAAGGAGTCAGGCCCTGGAACACACTCTAAGGCAAGTGGACACACAGCACTTGAGCTATGTTCCCTTTGCGCTCAGGTGAACATTTTTTATCCCAATATGACCACGTGCTGATATGAAGATTGATGAGCGAATGCCTACAGCATTGTAAAAGGTGTCAGTTAAGTCCAAAGTATTATTGTGTAATACCTTGCCTGTATAATAACTGCAGGACTTTCGATACTGAATCAGATACTTAATAACTGTACCACTTATGGTACAGAAGCCAGAAGGCATGACATTTTTTCATTGATGGTACTGCTGATAAAAGTCACCGGCCAGAAGGTAGCAAATGAAGGCATTGAGCTCAGCTCTCCCTTCAAAGGGATATCCCCAATGGGGAGCCCCAACTTACTACTGAGCACTAAGAACAGCAGATAGAGAGAAATTACATTTGGGTTCACATTTTACCCATAGGGGTGAAAAGAAAACTGGAGAAAGAACATGGGGGAACACAGCATTACTAATGATTCATTTCAATCTCTAGGAATTTTACACAGCTAATATAAAAAATAAATATGATGTAAAGGTGACAGCCAATGTCAGTTACACTCATGAGCATACTTATTACTTAGTAGGGTGTTTAGTACATACCAGGCAGGATACTGAGTACTCTATATGTATATTTTGTTTTAACTCTTCCGACAACTCCTGCTAGGGAGCTGCAGTTATTGTACCCACTTTACTGCTGAAGAATCCCAGGCACAGACAGATTAAAAATTTGCCCAGGAACACAAAACTAGCAAGTGGCAGTAACAGGACTGGAACCCAAGCCATCTGATTTCAAAGTGTATGCTTTTAAACACTACCGTATGTGTGAGATTCGTGTGGCTTACAAATGGGATGTATATGGCATGTACAATATTTTGAAACTTGGGGGTTTTTCTGGCTAGCAGGTTTCTTCTTAGGGAGAATATGCTAGCCACCCCCAGCCAGAGATCAGCAGAGGTGATCAGCTGGATGGCACCAGCCAGCAGTACCGAGAGAGGCTGTCAAGCAATTAGCCTGATGATAATTTGGTATGATAAAACTGGCTTCGAATCATAATTCAAGCGGACAACATAAAGAACATTCTCCCTAAGTCTCTACCTTGTCCTACGGTACAAAGAAGCAGTCTGGGTCACAGGAGGACTGGCAGCCTCGTGAGCACTGACACGAGACAGGAGACACCACGAGCAGGCGGTCGGCAAGTGACACGGGGTTTTTCATTCATTCATTCAGGAAACAGTTCGTGAGGGCCGGCCCCAGTGGGCACTGGAGAGATCAAAGAGAAGACACACTGATTCCCAGCCCCAGTTTCACGTCAGAAACTGTCAAACATCCCTCTCTTGGAAAAGACTTGGCCTGGGCAATTAGCTGGAGATGAGAAAAGTGGCAGGTGAAAGATCGCAGGAAGCGGCAGGGCCCCGAAGCCCGCTGGAGAAAGGACACGTCCCCTGAGGTGGGGCCACGCCACTCGAAGCTGGTGCCGCCAGGTCCTCTGATTTTCCCAGAAGCCAGAAAGCCAGAGTCTTATGTAAAACTTCCAGATTTTTAACATGGGTTAAACAAATGTTTGCAGGCCCAGTATTTCTAGATCAAACAAATGTCTTCTGGTCCAATACTTATGTAAGATGTAGTTTTCAAAGTCTGCAAATCAAAAAACTTGATTAAATTCATTGACTGGGATTTTAAAAATAAAGTTGTCTAGCTTTAATAGTGAATTTTTCTTTGAAAAAAGTTCAATCACAGTTGACAATAAATATTATTTTATATTATTATAATTTCAGGTATATTAGACATTCATATAATTTACAAAGTGTCCCACCTGATACATCCCATACCCACCTGGCACCATCCATAGTTATTATAATATTACCGACTATATTCTCTATGCTGTACTTTACATCCCCATGACTTGTAACTACCAATTTGTACTTCTTAGTCCCTTCACCTAATAGTGAATTTGATATGTGGAGACTTCTGATCCTTATGTACACCTAACTCAATTAATTTTTAATTTTTCCCTTTTTGTGGTTTTGTGTGTGTGTGCGTGTGTGTGTGTGTTGGGGTTTAACACACACAGAGTGTGTAAGGTGCACTAACCTCATGCAAACAGTAAAAAATGACCTAGACTATTTCAGCATCCATGTGAAGTTCCTCCCAGAGGTTCCCAATGTATCCCACACTCTGCATGCTCACTTTTGACCTCCACATCCAATAGCTTTGCCCAGTGTTGTCTCATTCAGATCTTAATCATGAGAAATGGATAACAGATTTAGTTGCTTCAGGTCCCAGAGAAATAAGACTGGGCTTAAATAAATTAAGGCACAACTGAAGAGTCGTGGCAGACCCAACAGCATGACGGAGCCCACGGACCCAGCCAACTGCTCCTCCACGTCCTGTCCTTTCACTGTCACACACCTTTCTGATAACTATCGTTTCCCGGGTGAATACCGTGTGCCAAGTATGTACTTGCCACTCTGCATAGAGTATCTCATTTAAGCATTAAAAAACCCTCAGAGATACACATTTAGATAAAACTTGTTCCAACTGTACAGCTAAAGATAACTGGGTCTGTGGTAGGTTATGCAGCCGCATCCACACAGCCAATACGTGAAAAGTCTAGGCTATTACAAAGCCCAAGGATTGTCCACTGGACAACATGGCCTCCCCATAATTTTACTAAATGGTATGTTTTTCTAACTCTTCCACAAGAATATAATAAACTTTATTTTGTAACCAGGAACATAATGAACCTTATTCAATGTAGAGTCTGTTAACACTTCACATGATAAGGATTTGTGGTGGTGTTGAAAAGTATTGAAAGCTGATATTTATTATCTAGGTACTTTTGTTTTTAAAACAACTTAATGAACACAGTTAAAATAAATATCTCAGTATTTTTTTCTGGGGCTTATGAGAACATTGTCTTGTACAAGTAGAGTTTTGAGGCAAGAGGCAGATCTGGGTGTCCAAAAGTGCAGTGGAAGGAGTACAGTCAATAATATGAAGTGGGGACCAAAAACCTGAAATTATCTTCTGGAGGGTGGGCTCCTTATAGGACAGGCTTCCCCTGCTAAGTGAGTGTTGTAGGAACCCATCTGTATCACTGTACCAGCTGGTGTTGTTGTGAGAAGTTGTGTCCAGCTTCAGCGAATTTTTTTTTTTACTCTTTCAATGCATTTGCCCATTTCTTGACGGGTGATTTCCAAGTCCACCTGCCCACACCCTGCTGAGTGTTTAGCGGTTTTTTGACCAAAAATGGCATGATCCTTATGCCCCATCCTCTCTACTCACCTGATCTCACCCCAAGAGACTTTTTTTGCTTCCCCAGATAAAAAATATCTTTAAAGGAAAATGTTTTGCCGATGTGGAGAAGGTGAAATGAAAAACATTAAAAGGGCATCAAAATTGATGAGTTCAAAAACTGTTTTGAGCTGTGAAAAAAAAGTCTTGGTAAGTGTGTTGCATCAAATGGAAAGTACTTTTAAGGTGACTGAAGTTTAAAAAGGTAAGAATAAAAACATAATTTTTTATAAATAAATCCTGTTTTTGGGGGGGTTCCTCCCTTGAATTATAATAAATATGTATTGTGTCAGATGAGCATTAGATTTATCAGAGGATCACTTCATAAGTTATATAAATGTCTACACACTGTTATGTACTTGAAACTAACATATTATTGTATGTCAGCTATAATTGAAAAATAAAAAATAAGCAACAAAAAGAAGGAAAATGTTTCTATCACCTACTTGACAACATATGGCTTTGCCAGAAAAGTCAGCATTTAAACATGCAGTCCTCAAATTTTTTCATGCTGATTATATCATAATTATAGGATTAAACACTTTGCAAAATGAAAAGGTATGTAATAAAAAAATCTTTTCTCTCTCCCAGGAAATTTGTGCAGCATGGAAATGGGATTGGAGCAGTGGCACAGAGTTTCCCATAAGAGGTGCTTCCTGGGGGGCTGTGAAGGGCTATGGGGGGCGTGACTTGAAGCTGTGCTCTGTATAGTAAGTTCTCCGGTTCTGATTAGCCTAGAGCAGTTCCCTAAAGATGCTTTTATTCATTCTTTAAGAAGATTGAGAGCAAACGAATTATCTATATTAAGAATATTATTTTATTGGGTGGGCAACCAGTGCATATTACTTGGAGGTCGAGGGAGTTCTAAAGCTCCATCACCTGACAATACCATGACACCCAATGACTGGCAGAGTGGAGCAATAAAGGGACCTAGAAGACCTCCTATTCAGGCGGACAGACAGAGTACAGTGCCAGGCCTTCCCCTGTGGCTCATCCTTCCAGCAGTTGGGGAGCAGCTGATGGCATGCCAACACTTTGATGTAAAGGATACACACCAGTAGGAGTTCACTGTTGCCCATGATCTTTTAGCCTGAGATAGGCAAAGATTTCAAGCATATATTATCTTTTACCTCAATAGCCACACTAAGACCAGCTATCCTATTTAAATTCTAGAGCCAGATCTATTTGATCATCTTCTTCTTACACTTTGGGCAGCTCAGAGACTCACGTGAGATCTAGTGAAACACCCACACTTACTAGAAGCAGCTGTTTAGATCTGGACTTTAACATCCAGGATTATGTCCCACAGATAACCAGCTGAGTTAGCTGCGTGACCTTCCCTCAAATCAATACCTGTTGCTTAAGAACTTAAGCCACTTTTTACTCACAACTTTAATCTTTCCTTATTTTATTTTTAATTTAAAAAATTTTAAATGTAGTAAAGTACACATAACAAAATGCACTGCTTAGCCACCTTTAACTGGCAGCTCAGTGGCATTAAGTACATTCACACTGCTGTGCAGACATCACCACCACCCGTCTCAGAGCTCCGCTCATCTTCCCAAACTGAATCTCTGTCCCCACAAAATAGTAACTCCCCAGTCACTGGCTCCTGCCCCTGGCTCTGGTAGCCGCCGTTCTACTTTCCGTACCTATGATTTGACCACTGCAGGTACCTCACACACATAGATTTATACAGTATTTCTTTTTTTTTTTTTAGCATGTATCAGAATTTCCTTCCCCTTTTAAGGCTGAAAATTTCTTTCTTTCTTTTCCTTCCTTCCTTCCTTCCTTCCTTCCTTCCTTTCCTTCTTTCTTTTTTTTTTTACCAAAAAATGTTTCAAGTTTGTCTAGTAAAGTTAATCAACTAGGTTGATTGGGGCATATTTGGTTTATTTAATAAGATGTTCGGCTTGGAACCCAAAAGAGGGAGCAAGAGAATTTGCTGAAATCTGTAAAGCCAGAGCTCCTCAATGTGCGTCAGGATCACCTGGAGAGCTTGGTCAGCTGCCCGTGGCTAGTCCAAAGCCCCAGAGTTCCCGATTCCTCAGTTCTAGAGGAGGGCCTGAGAATTTGCATTTCATTCCCATTCTTGGTCAGTGACCACTTTTGAGAACCACTGGAACCTATCCAGTGTTAAGCCTCTAGGATTTCAATCACTGAATTTTTCCCATAGTGCAAAGAGGATACATACCCCTCCCACCTAGGACAGGAGGCTTGCAGTTATAGAAAAGGGGAAGCACAGAGCAGAGTAAGAAATAGCAAGAAAGTTCAGCCCTTACCATTCCTAGTATTTTGGGAATGAGGGAAAGAAGCGTGGCAAGTCACATGGCCAGAACCAAGTTCTGATTTCACTTCTCTGGCCCCAGGCACAAGAGCACAAGCATGCAAGGTAAGTGAGGGAAAGGTCCAGGGCACTGGGGAGTCTTGGTGCTGTTGCTCCATTGAGACTCTAGGAAGAAGCTCACTGTGGGGAGGGCCTGGCCCAGATCAATGTAGACAGATGTCAGATGCCAGCCAGTAGACTTGGAATAAGGCAGCTATGATGGGGTGAGATGATCCTGAGGTGAACCCCTGGGCCAGGGGTTGCTGGGATAGAGAACTTGGCAGACACCGAGGTGCCTGAAGCTAACGGGAGCTGAGCAGAGGTGTGTCTGCCAGGGGGAGGTTGCCAGGGATTCCCGCAGGCATCACCCAGGCCAGAGCCCACCATGAATTTAACAGCTACAGAGTTCAGTGGTGGTGGTCAGCAGTGACAGGGGAGATCACAGGCAGAGCCTAGAGACCAAGGGACACCATGTCCTAAGACCTGCACTCACTCTTGCCCCAAACCCCCAGATGCTATTTTGGCAAAGCAGCTGGGCAGTAGAGATGGTGTGAAAAAGGCAGTATGAGAAGGGAGTGTTTAATGTTGGAGACTAATCATCACCTCCAGGGACTATTCAAACAATTAGGCCAGGCTAGCTTTTAACTGGGCTGAGGCTACCAGTTTGTTTCCTTGCTCACCTGCAAGTATGGGTTTCTGTGGAAGACAGATGAAGTGTACACAGAGCAAAGAAATCACATTTTTTTTTCTGTACTTCTAAGTTGTTATGTGACTAGGATTGTTAGATAAAATCAGTGACATACCTTTACTAAAAAATTAGTTGTTTTTTGTCTGAAATTCAAACATAAACTGGGCATCTTCTATGTTGATTTGCTAGATCTGGCAACCCCACGTGTGACCTCCCGTGGCCCATCTACATGTGGTGATAAGGTAATTAGAGTATGCCTTCATCACGCATCTGCCTCAGCCCACAATCTCATTCGTTATCGTCCCAATTGAGAGCGATTCACAGAGCTAACCTCCAAGTGTACATCCTGGTTGTACAAGCTTGTGTTAATCTTTCAGAAACAGCCGGGTGGCAGAGGAAAACTAGCCTGGGAGAAAACCCTCCCCGCAGACCGTCCAGGAAAGGGCAAGTCCATACCTGAAACATACCGATCAGCTTCTTTTTACTATATTCAAGCCTTGAATATATTCGCACTTGAATTATAACAATACACCTGTAAGATAATCTCTGAAAGTGTGAAATGAGCATTTCCACTTTGCTTTCAGGACACCTCATGGATCCTCTAACCCCACCTCTGGGGCCTGCGTCACCGGCCACTACGACTCCCCACTGACTGTGCTGGAAGGAGTCCTCACAGGAGCTGAGGACTCACATGTGAGCCACGTGGACTGATGAGGCCAAGGTCGGCCTCACGAGCTTGAGGTCATCTTCTGCCTATGGCTCGAAGGCTTCTAATGACAAGACCCACTATTCTATCCACAGATAGCACCACTCCATTTGTCACAGAGGTAGCACCTTTGGGAAGACATTCCTTTATGTTAAGATACTGATAACCTGCAAAATTGCTTTTAAAAATATGAATTATAGCTTTACTACTGCCATTTTATGTCAAGGTAAGATTGTATTGTTCTCAAAGGACTTCAGTTATTCTTAGCCATGTCTTTGGAGCTTAGCAAGCCATCACTCAACAAGGTTTAAAGGGAGCAAGAAATCGAAAGGCAAGTTTGAGGAACCAGAAAAGAGACAGGTATGAAGGAACAATTCCTAGAAGAGGAAAGATTTGAGAAAGAACGGGTGGGGTGTGTAGAGAGCAGTGAGTACTAAAATGGAACAAAGCCAGGGGGCTTTATTAGGATGCTGGCAAAAACAGAGCACAAAGACACATCTCATCTCTTTCGAAAGTTGCATTAGGCTTTGACCAAGCCCACCCTGCTATGGATGAAGAGTCTTTCCGGGCTATGCGTTAGTACTCACAGGTCCAGCACTGAAACTCAGCATCACTGTCAAGCACCTATTAGAAGAGAAGTGATGAAACCTCCAATGTTCTCTTGCAAAAACAATGGATGTTCCCACATTTCCATATTAATCAGATATATCAACCATTTAAAAATTACAGAACAAACTGTGATTAGAATCAAGCTGTGGGGCTGTTTTTGTTTTGTTTTGTTTTGTTTTGTTTTGTTTTGAGGGAGAGTAGAGATGATGAGCCTGTACTCATATCTTAACACCCATCCAAGCCTCTGCCACTTCTCCCTTCTTGCCGCGTTGTTTCTCCCATTTCTATTTTTGTTGGCATGTGAACTTGCTCCCATCAAAATGAGTTAGACAAGACAGGAAGGTTAATTTATTTAAGGGAATGTGAATCAACACTGTGGGGGAAACAAAAGGCACCTGTATGCACCATTTTGAAAGCAAAACAAACAAAAGCACTGGCAGACCCCAAACTGTGGTGCCCACAGGCGAACACCTACGCTGGCCCAGGGGTTGGAGCAATCGCAGTAAACCAGCTTGTTGGAACAAGCACCTACTGGCTTAAAAGTTGGGGCTTTTGTGTCAGAGAGACTGGAGTTCAAATCCGTACTTCACAGAGGTGTCGCTTGGCCCTCTTGGAGGCCTGTTTCCTCTTCTGTAAAACAGAAATAATCATACCCATTTTATGGGCTTGTTGTGGGAACTGAATGAGAGAAAGAAATGCTTAGAATACCCAGAGCTAACAAGTGAGAGCTTACTAGAATTATTTATTAAAGATGGCAGGCTAACTCATAAATCAAAATTGATTCCTAAATATTCTACATTTGATCCAAAATAATCCACTTCTTCAGAACCTACTATGAATCTTATGAGAGTGAAAGCTTAGTGGTTTGGTTCAGTCACCTCCTATATATTCAATATCAAATGCCCCCCTTCTTTTATCCCGTTTGCTTAATTTTAGAATGTTAATCCCAAGACATTTTAATTCTAATACCACCCACATCATCTGCATTTAGGGCCATTACAGGGGTACCCATGAATTATTACACAAGAAGGAAAGAACTCTCACTATTGTAGGGCTATTTCAAAAAATCAAAGAGAAGTGAGCCTCTTCTGGACATTTTATCGGAAGGTGTCAAAATTACATTCGCAACTACAGGATGCCTCATAAATGCACAAATTTGCAGAGGGGAAAAATGCAAGATATAAGAGTTTAAACAAAACAAAACACAGTGGGTCTTAAATTCCTGAACATGAGCTTATTTTTCTGTTCATTGCTATCTTGTGGAGCGACTTTGAGTTTTTGACCTCTGTCTCTGACTTTGAGACAGTGATGGAAAAGGGGACCAGGAATCACGAAGTGAAGGTTGAAAGGGCCCTTAATCCAAACACCACAGGTCTCCGCCAGGATGCTGCTTAATGTCCACCTTCGTGGGACTGCAGGCCAGGTTGCGCTTTCCCAGGAATCCCCACAGACCCATGTCAGCCCCCGGGCCTCATCAAGCCAGCATTGTTGTTATGAAGGTGTCAGATGTGAAGCTGTGTAAACAGAGTGACACAGAGGCCGTTCCTGCTTAGTGACCTGTACCCAAAAGGTCTATTTTTAGAAACGGCTTCCAGCGGCTATGCCCTTGGAAAGCAGGCTGGCCACGCACTATTGCTATTTTTGAATATTTCTGTGCATTTGGATTGTGCTCTAACATGTTTGTGAAGGAGTTCAGAGACAATGAGAACTAATTCTGATCTCCATTTAAAGTTAAAAATCTGAATTCTGCATTTTATGAGGACATCATGGCCAAGGAAGCAGGAAGCTCGTCTTTCATTTTGAGGAATAACCATGGAGCTGCTCAAACGGACACGGATCCCATGCTTTTGGGTCTCGTTTGGGCCATGGAGACAGGGAAAGATCCAGAAGAAGGACCTTACACAGCTGGGGGCAGGTAGACCTCTTAGTGCTGTCGGCTGCTTGCCTCAGAGGGCCTTAGAATCACTTGTCAAATCTGTTAGAAAGCAGGCTTACCCCAGAGTCTGATTTAGATTTAGCACGGAGTACAGAGGTTTGCATGTAAAACGCTCCACAGCTGATTTTGATGCAGATTGTCCAGAGTCACACTTTGAGGAAAAACTGTTATAGGAAAAGGGTATAAAAACATGAAAGATGCTAAAGAATGAGAAGGGAGAATCATCAAGTAAAACACATACACACCAAATGATCAGTTCCTGACATCAATGACAGAGGGAAAGTCGTAAAAGTAAAGCAAAGTAGAACTCCGGCCTTAGAGCCGCTCTGGACGCCCTGACACACCGGCTCGCTGTTAGAAAACCCGGTTCCTCTTTCTGATTCTGTGTTTCTAGTCCTGTGACCTAAGGCTAAGTCCTTTCATTTCTGGGGGCTTCAACTTTTACGAAGCAGGCAGCAGTTTCTCTGAACAACCCCTCCGGGGTCAGAAGAGAGGCTTTGCCCATAACCTCTGACTCCCTACCCACCCCCATACAAAAGTTCTTTGACATCTATAGTCCTTAGCGAGTCACCTTTTCCTATTGCTTTTCTGCCCCTTGACAAATTTGATCTCTGTCCAGTTTGGGTGTGATTTTCACTGGCAGGAAATATCAGCCCTCATCCACATTGAATCTTGTCTCGGCCACATCTTTTAGGCTTTGCTGCAGGAAAACTGGGCTACAAATAGGGATGAACACACCTTCTCTTAGTGCAGGGTGGAAATGCCTCCACTTAGTGTCTGCTGAGTTCTGGTACCAGCAGCTGCCCACTAACTATTCACTGATTGAATGAAAGTGCACCAAACCCAGGGCCAAGGTTTTTTCTTTACACACATTGTCTTTATTGTTAAAACCTTGATACAAAGTAGGGATGATTGCCTTCAGTTTCCAGAGCAAGGAAAAAAAATTGAGTGGTCAGTTGGTCCAGAACTCACAGTAAGGGTCAGGGCTGCAAACCAATTTCTGTCAGATTCAAAGCCAGTGGTCCTACCCACGGCACAGCACTGCCACTGGAGGGGGTGGGAGAGTGGTACTGGAAACAACAAGGTGACTTACTCTAGTGAGGCTTGCAAAAGCTGGGGCTCAGAGGAGGCTGAGTCCTGTCCCAGGCAGCATCCTGAAATCCCGGCTCCCAGGACCTCGCTCCCCAGCCAGGGCTGGAGAGCACTATCTTAGCAAGGGGCGGCACTGGGCAGACAGGCACGAGGAGATCAGGCAGATCTCACTCACGGGAGGGAGAAACACCTTCAAATGAGATTTTTCTCTGGTGAAGGCTACAGGTGAAAAGCGTGGTCAGCTTAGGGATGAGACTCTTGACCGTAAGGGAACAGAGAGGGCAGCGCGGATGGGCCTAGCCTGTCCGTCCCAGTGAAATCTCAATGCAGGAAAACGTTTCTACAGCAGCTTACTACACCAGTGAGGAAGATATTCTTATGACACCCATTTTTCAGATGATGATGCTGTTGCAAAGGTTAAGGCATTTGACTGGTAAACGATAAAGCTGGGATTCAAAGTCAGGCAACCTGGTCATAGCCCATGCTTCTAACCAGCAGGCCACACAGCTGCTACAGGGTATAGTTTTGCTTCCATTACATAAACATTCATTGAGCACATAGTAGGAGCTCATTCTGTTGCAGGCACTGGGAACACCACGCTGAACAAAATCTAGGAGTTTGTATTCTAATGAGAAGGAAACAATGAATGATGTTGTGAGTGTATGTCTCACAGGTGAATAAAAAAGGAATGCTGGGAGTATGATGGGAAAGAGCTGCCATGTTCAACTGGCCATACAGGGAAGGCTGACATTTGAGCAAATGCCTGAGGGAAGTGAGGGTACAAGTCTAAGTAATTAAGACATAAAAACATATAGCCCACAAGGAAAGTAAAACAGTGGAATTATCCAGAACAGGACAAAACTGACAGGACCTTCAAAGCTCTGACTTCCCATTAAGGATTCTGGAAACCATGTCTCTACCTCCCACTCCCAGCAAATGAGAGACTGGTGCTAAGCCTATCTATACGCAGTGCACTTTTTAAAGTTGGGGACTGACAAGGTAAATGAATATTCCATAAGGACACACAGATGCTCACATGCTCATTCCGCTCCAGTATCTCTTGACATTGTCTTTGTGTAGTTTGTCCCACTAGATTGAATAAGTCCAATGGCAACAAGCTATCTTCTTTTTTTAATTTTAATTTTTTATTTAAAGATTTTTTTTTCATTTTTATGAGATTTTATTTACTTATTTTTAGAGATTGGGGAAGGGAGAAAGAGAAGGACAGAAATATCTACGTGTGGTTGCTTCTCTTGTGTCCCCCAGGGACCTGTCCTGCAACCCAGGCACGTGCCCTGGGAATCAAACCAGCGACTCTGGTTTGCAGGCCTGTGCTCAACCACTGAGCCACACCAGCCAAGGCAAGCCATCTTTCTTTCATGGTGTATTTCATGGGGGCACCATCCACAAATGACATGTAAAATGAACATGGCGGACTTCCGGCAAGATGGAGGAATAGGTGGACGCACTGTACCTCCTCGCACAACCAAGATTAGAACAACAATAATTTACAAATAGAATATCACTCAGAACTGATAGAGGATTTATCTGAATGGAAGTCACACAGCCAAGAAGTTGAAGTAGACCCGTACATCCAGACTGGTAGGAGAAGACAAGCCAGGCGGGCACGGGGCTGGTGCGGGTCAGCAGCGCGCAGAGGTCAGGGAAAATTTGGCACGAAATCGGCGCGACAGCCATCCAGGGCGCAAGAATGCAGCAGTGATCCTAGAGTACGCAAACTGCGGCTGGCGGACCCAGTGAAGCAGCGATTGTAGACCAGGGCAGAGCTCGCAGCCCAGGATCCCAAAGAAGGGTCTGAGCCCAGGAGAATGGAACTACCGCCATTGTTCCCTCTCGCTCCCGCCCCCGCCTCCGCCCCCACATATAACGTCACAATCTAGCGACCCAGGTGCCCAGCCCCGGTGAACACCTAAGGCTCCGCCCCCCACCATAACAAGAGCGACCAGACCGGAAAAAAAAAAAAAAAAGGAGAGACAGGGAAAAGACATAAGACATGTTACCAACAGAACAGATCAGTCCCCCAGGACTCATCCTTTTGAGAGACTAAGA